AACCGACGCAGGCAGCGGCCAGGTAGGGATCTTATTTTGAGGGGAAGCTTTTGCCCAGTTACCTTCCCTCCCTGACCCTCCTGGGACCATCAAGTGGGATTGGCAACCCTGTGCCATGAAACTCAGAGCAGAAACAGTTGAGGCAGGGATCAGCCCATAGCCCACTGCCTGCATGGCTTGAGGGGAACCTGGGGGATGCCAGAGGGTGCAGGCAGCGGCCAGGTAGGGATCTTATTTTGAGGGGAAGCTTTTGCCCAGTTACCTTCCCTCCCTGACCCTCCTGGGACCATCAAGTGGGATTGGCAACCCTGTGCCATGAAACTCAGAGCAGAAACAGTTGAGGCAGGGATCAGCCCATAGCCCACTGCCTGCATGGCTTGAGGGGAACCTGGGGGATGCCAGAGGGTATGATTGGTGTCTCAAGGATCTGAGCCAGCTCCCATGTCCAGCAGTGCCTTACTAGCAAAGCCAGAGAAGACCCAGGGCTCTGAGCCCAGAAGATGTGATGTATGCTCCCCACAAAGGCTGATAGATCATGGCTGTTCAGGCAGACCTTGCCTCCAAATGCCTAGTGTGAACCCTTGAGGACAGGGCACAGGGCTAGGAGCACCCAGGACCCTCAGGGCAGAATGGGGCAGTTGCATCCTCAGCCTAGGAAAGGGCCTAAGCCAGTAATGGAGAAGTCACGCACAGAGCCTGGAGGGCAGTGTGGGAAAAGCCTCATGTGCCTTGCCACTTGCTCCTCTGTCAGTCCTTCTCTGGAGCAGGACAGACCCCCCTCCCAGCACCTATGTGGGCTGTGATGAGGAACTGCACGGCTCTGCCTGGCAGAAAAGCTGGCTGCTCGGGAGTGCAGGGTGCTCTGCTCTGCTGCTGCTGGGGACTGCTCCAAGGGATAAATGCCCAGCTGGGCCCAGAGATGGAGGAATGCCCACCAGACCTGAGAGTGGGTGGGTAGGAGAAGTGGGATGGAGACAAACAGGTTCCCGAAGCTTCCAGGCTGGGGCAAGCCTATTCACTTCACCTGCTCAATTTGCAGGCTCTGGCTAGGCTTAGAGCCCATTAGGGACTGTTAGGAGACTTTGCAATGTTTCCAGGCCCATTCCCAGACCCCAACATTGGAGCTGAGAGTGGATGGTCACCTAGCTCCGCTCCAAGTACAGTTCCATCCCCTTTGTGTGCAGTTTCTCTGGAGCACCCCTCAAGACTATGCCACTGTCCTTAGAAAGAGGGCTGGAGAACAGCACTCAAGTCATGGAGGCCTTATTCCTTCTTCCTTCTCCTCTCCCCTGCTCTGGGGGATCCTTGTGTGTGGCTGGGGATGAAAGGAAAGAGGCCGAGTGGGCAGGCTCCCAATATCCAAAAAGCTCCCTGGTGTGAGAGATGCCCAGAGCAGGACAAGTGCCAAGCAGGGGTAAACAGGACCTGGCAGGGCCCAGCAGCATTTCTGTGTCGTGCACTGTCTTCAGACCCACATCACATAGGCACTGAGATAACATTGAAGAAATGGACAATAGTTTGAGCTCTGGGCAGCCCAGTTTATTTATGAACACTGTCTGGCAAGGGAGGGAAAACCCCATGCTACCAAGACAGTGCTTCGTCACTCAGTGCTGTCAGTGTACAGGAAGAGATACTGTGGAGCGGTCTGGCCTTGTCCATGCCCAGTGTTATTTCTCTTTCCTGAACACCTCCCAAAATAAGCAGTGAGACAGGATCCCAGTGGCCATGAAGGGCCCTGCCATCAGTGGTACAGCCCTTCTCTTCACCATGACTCCTCAGGTGACAGGGTCACACCATAAGCACCATTATCCTGCATCATCACTCAGATTAGCCTTCCAGACCCCTCTTACAGCCAGAAGACATTGAAGCTTCTTTAACCTGCCAGTAGCTCCTAATATACATTCATAAGCCAAGGTGAGTGGTCCATTCCATGCCAGGTGCTCCGCAGATCCTGGCTGCCCTCATACCAGGGGGCAGGAAAGTTGGCCCAGGTCCTTCCCAGAGGGTCCCCTGCTAAAAGGATGGATGGGGCCAATAGGGACTCTGGGGTCTCACTTTCTTCCTTGGGGACATGGCTGAGGCCACATATAGCTGTATACAGGCACCATAAAGGATCCAGCCCCGAAGAGAGTGGCAGGGTACCCTAATTAAGCTCATTCTCTGTGCATTGAAAGCTGGCTGCCTGGCCCATACACACCTGTGTGCTGTGTCGGGCTCTGTGTGTGCCTTGGTGGGTGCATTCATGTTTGGCCCATACACACCTGTGTGCTGTGTCCGGCTCTGTGTGTGCTGGGGGCTGGACTGCATGTTGGAGCCAGCACACTTGCAAATGGAAACCGTTTGTTCTGAAAGTCTCTCTTCTCCCCAGACTTCCCTAAACCATGGCAACAGTGTAGCTCTTCCATCCTGGCCCAAAGTCCAGGAGGTGGATTTTTCCCCTTCACTGCTCTCTCCCCTCTGTTAAGAATCTATTTGTCCAGGTGATTAGGGAATGCCCTAGGCAACCTTATGGTAGGGGGGACCCTCTGCAGCCACTTATTTCTTTTCTCCACGCTTAGCTCACGATACTGAGGGCAAAAGAGCCAGAAAGCATTGCTTCCCTGGGAAGCACAGTTTTATGGCAGGATGGTGCCAGTGGAGCCCAGTTTCCAGGGATGGATACGTGCTTGGATCCCACACACCTGCACTAGGAGGCACCATGCGGACCAAGACTAGGCAGGAAGCAGGGTCAGAGGGTTGGGGGGGGTGTCTGCATTCTGAAGCCTGGCAGCATGCCTCTACTGTCCATTCATCCTTTATTGTGTGGCTACCTGGGCAAGGTGGTCTCTTGCCAGCCTTCTGCACCAGCAGCCCCCTGCAAGACCTTTGCAGATGAACTCAAGATCTGCTCACACCCTTCATGAAAGCTCTGTTTCTGGCATTCCTCTTGTTCGCACCCCTTTATACCAACAAAATCACCATGGGCAGATTCAAGCCTACATTTGGGAAAGCAGCAGGAAGTGCAGCAAGGATTCCATGGCCCATGAGAAACCTCCTGAGCTTCTCTGTGCAAGGTCTACATGCAACACATGGCAGCTGTCATCTCCATTTTATCCTTTCTTTAATACATTGGCTGGGTTCAGTGCCCAGAGTCTCAGCCGCCATGAAAGGTACTGCCATTGAGGAGCACCTCACACCTTGGTCGCTGCTGAGGTCTGTCCCTTGATAGCAGGGAGTGCTCTGGGCTCTTCACTTGCATGGCAGAGCTTTAGAGACTGTGCGATACGTTTCTCAGGTCCTCAGGTACCTGAAGATGCAAAGAAGTACCAAGCAGGATCCTGAAGAGCACCTCAGGAACCCACACTGCTTTAGAAGTGCTTGTCTGTTCAGGTGCAGCACCTTTGAAATGCTGGTCCTGTGCTCTGGACCATGGGGAACAAGAGCTTTGGGAGTCTCTGTGGGCTCTGCCTGCCAACTGACAGCTCTACCCAGGATGCTGCTCCAAACTGGGGCACCAGATTTAACAGGTTTCCTGCCAAGAATCTTTTTTGCCCTTGATGCTGCTAAACTGGAATGTGGAACACCTTGAGGGCAGCTTTGATTCTGACACCAGCCATCGCTGCCTTTCCAAGGTGCAAAGTGGAGGAGAGGTGAGAGAAAGGGGAAGCAAGGCAGCTCAGTTAGGACCAGAGGGCTGTCGCAGTGCGGCAGAAAAACTGGCAGAGGCTGTACCTAGGCTTTGCATTGAGTCTGTATGGGGCAAGCAATGCTGTGGGATGCTTGGTTCACACTGTTGTAAACAAGCTGCACTAGCAGAGATGTAATGAAACCACCCACTTTGGTGATGCTTTGCCCAGAGTTGAGAGTGCCCAAGGCCAGGAGGTAGATGCACAAGCCTAGTTTTTGCTGAGCTAATCTAGCCACAGACCATGCCCTAAAGCAGCAGAATTAGAGCAGCCACAAAAGCCCAAGATTTTAATGCCACCTCTGTCTTCAGGCTCTCTAGAGGAATGGGAGATGCTGGGAGAGGTGGTCTCAGCACCCCACTGCCCCATGAAATACAATATCTGCCTCTACAGAGCAGATGGCTGTGTTCCCCTCACCTTTGTTTGGCACACCTGGCTGCTGGAAAGCTGATGAAATGTCATTCTCACCTCCTCAGCCAGGGGCTGTGGACTCCAACCCTGTTGCTCCCTCACCCCAACCCTTTGCTGGCCCAGGAGGAGCCTTGCTGGTGGGAGGATGGTACTCATTCCGAGAAGAAGGCAGGCAGCAAAATCCAATCTCAAGTCAGACCTGACTCTAAGGTGGCCAGTATAAAAGTGCTTCCAAAGGCTTCTGTCTCCTTCTTTAGGAAAGGTCAGAACCAGCCACCCAAAGAACCCATGGGTGATGGAGAGCGCTCTCCTGTGGCAAGGACAGCACCAGAGAGTGCGCTCAGCTGGAGCTAGTGCAGTCCCTTCTGACTGGCCCATGGGAACCCCCAGTGTGGGTAGCTGGGCTGGGGCACAGAGAGGGCTCACACTAGCAAGAGAAAGGGCACTCCGCTTTTGCTTTGCAGGAGCCTGCAAGATTATACGCAGCAGATCCTGAGCTGGGCAGCCTTGCTGCCTTGTAAGCAGCCGTCCCAGAGGCCATTGCCAAGCATGAAGTTGCAGGAGGCAGAATAGGAAAGAGTTGGGAAAACTTGCAGCAGCAGGGCAAAGGAGGCCTGGCAAGGTTCATATCTCACATGCAGGACTCACTCCACACCAGCAACATGATGTCCCTGGCTCTCTGCTCTGTGCCCTACTGCTCTTGGCTGAAAGTTGCATGTCATGCTGGGAGCCCTATCACCAAAGCGATCCGACCAGGCTATGTGGTTCTGCTAAGCATAGCAGTGGGGTCACTCCTTGCCTTCCCCTGAACAGACACAGCAAGCAGCAGGCTGGGGGAGCATGAGCAAAACCTCCGGCTCCCCTGGGCAACAGAAAGACCTCATAGAGAGCTAAACTGTGGTGCATGGATTGAGCCTGCTTCTGGCACTCCCCATGGCCCTCCCTCCTCAGGGCAACGGGAAGCCGCTACCTGCAAAGCCGCAGGTCCAGGAAGATCCTGCACCTCAACAGCAGCAGCAGCACACTGGGCCCTCAACCTGGCTCAATCTCCCACAAAACAGGCCTGCTGCAGACAAAGAGGTGAGCAGGAAGCAAGCTCTGCTTAACTGCTCTGGCTAATAAGAGTTAGCTACAACATGGCTCTTTGCCTTCCAAGGCAAAGACAAGGACAGAGGACAGCAGTGTCCAGGCTGGGAATGCAGGCCCAGAAGCATAAAGTGGCTTTGCCAGGGCTGTGCAGCAGCTAGTGACCAGTTTGCTTGCCCTTCTCTCACAAAGCCAGACTGCTCTGTTGCACACCTTGGATGTCAAAAGCAGCAGGACAGACCTTTGAGCAGGGAACCTCTTAGGAAACATTAAAAGAGATTGCTCTCATCCTGACAAATATCCCTTACTTCTCCTTGTCCACATTTCATCATCTCAAGGGTTGGTTAAATGCCAGCCACAAACCAAGTTAGCCAGAAGACCAGGACTTCTGATGTCTGGTTCTGCTGCTGGCCGACCGCCTTGGCTATGCTCTTCCATCAGCTATACAAACCCTTCACAGGTAGGGGCAGACTGTGGAATGATGTTAATCACCTGAATTGCTCTGTGCTTCACATCTCTAGTGGAAAACATCAGCTTGCCCATCTCTAGTAAGGGAACAGAGACTGTTTCGGTCTTAAATAAATGGCAGAATAGTCATATAAGTGAAATTAGAAATTTTTCTTGTGCAAGGTACTATTCAACTCTGTATAGAGAGACCAGTGCAAGGTCTGTGTACCCCAGCTGCTCCAGAGGGACTTGTAAGGACTAGCTTCAGAAATGACTTAGAGCTGCCAAGAGTAACCTTCAACTCAGATACCTTACAAGGAGATGGACCTTGTGGAGGGCTGGGTTCTGGCAAGCCATCCAAAGGTCCTAGTCTATGACAGCTCTTGTTAGCCTTGGCCTGAACGACATGTGCACTTTACATTACATGAGTATAGGCTTTTCCTTAAGCAAGAGTGTGCCACTCCTGTCCAAATGCCCAGCACAAAACTGGTGAGGCTCTTCCCTTCTCACTATGTCTAGCATTGTTCATCTTAAATCAATTGTATAAGCATGGTCTATTTTAAAGCTGGTCTGCAGTTGTGGTTGGGTTAATGTTTGTGGGTAGATGTGCTAAAATTGAGGCAATCAAACATAAGGCTTCCTGGCATGAGCTGGCAAGAGAGGTTCAGAAAGGAATTGCTTTGCCCATTCCCACTACACTCCAGCTGAGGGTCAGCCTTGCCACTAAGCCCCCATGGTCCCCTTGCTTTCAGAGGCGCCATCCATCATGCCTGCTCATGCTCCCCTTGCTCTTGCAGGTGCCTCAGGGGGAGTGGAACAACACGCTGTCTCGGGACAAAGACAGCGAGATCCCATGCCGGCGCATGCGGAGCGGGAGTTACATCAAAGCCATGGGGGATGACGATAGTGAAGACTCAGAAACCAGCCCCAAACCATCCCCGAAAACTGCAGCTCGGAGGCAGAGTTACCTCAAGGCCACCCAACAGTCCCTGAGTGAGCAGAGCACCACCCAAAGGTAACGCTGAAGCTCCTCCGGGAGCTCTGCACAGGCTCCCCAGGGGCAACCCCAGAAACAGTCCGTGGGGTTTGGCCAGCAGCACCTACATGAGGACCTAAAATGGGGATCGGAACCCAGCAGAGCTCCTGCACGCCAGCTCAGACAGGCTGCAGGGCAGAATAGAAGATGATGTGGTGGAGGAATGGAGAGAGCACTCTGACTCTGGTGACTCCAAAACAGCCCTGGTGTTAAAGAGCCTGGTTCCTGTCCCCTTGCAATGGGTAGTAAAGCCATAGGGTACTCCTTTGGTGAAACTGTGTAGATTTTCTCTAGCTAAAGATCTACTCCTACTAGGGAACAGAGATCCCAGCTCAGTGATGCTATTTAGATGTGGAAGATGGTCAGCCAGCATGGCTGAATGCACTTGCGCAGGCCACAAGCAGCCAGGACTTTGTGGTACACTTTGCTCTGTCGGTGCCCCAAGGAATCTGGGATCAGCCAGTAATGGCCTGATGGGGAGATTAGGTTGAATAGTACCCTGCAGCCAGGAGAGACAAGCTGAAAGGCCCAGGACCAGATGTTCAGGGAGGAAGACTCAAGTTGTCTTGATGTAAATAGTAAAGGGTATACAACAAATGTGTGTGCTGGGCAAGGGGCTGGGTCCCATATGAAGGTCCATATGAACCACATGAATGGAGGTGATGCTATGCAATATATATAGTAGGTGAACACACAATGGAGCCACCTCATCTTGCTGCCTCCCAGCTGCCCTGCTCCTAGGAGAAGGTAGTGAGAGACTTTAATAGGCTGTGACTGAAATGTGAATTGCTGTGGCTCAGGCGAGAGGGTGAAGGACAGCAGGAAGCAGGAACAGCTACAGGAAGTGAACTGTAGTTCACAGTTCAGCAAATATATCCTGAAAGAAGTGAGGGAACAGCAGGCAGCATGGAGACCCCTCATGGCAGCATCAAACTGCAGAGATGCCTCTTTCTGTTAGAGGCAAAATTAACTGCAGGGAGCCCTGGAAATGCCTGCTCTGAGTTCGTGCCTGTTTCTTGCCTTCACATACACTTCATGAGGAGAAGACTTGGGTCCAGGAGTCCCTGATGTAAAATACTGAGGGCTTAGAGATGCCTAGGTTGGGAGAGTCAGACTGTTCCTGTCCTGGGATAGTTGTCTATTCAGGTCTTTTCCATCAGGGTGTGAAACCTCTCCTACCTCTGGCCTGCTGTGGCATCCAGCTGGAGTTCATGGATATGCAGCTTTGAGGAAAGGGCTAAGTTGGAGCAGGATGGTTGAGCAGGGAGGGCAGAGCCAGGCAAGCTCATGGATGCAGTTATGCGGGGAGAGCAATGAGTCAGGGAAACGCTGAGGGCTGGCAACGCCCATCTTTGAGAGTCTGTGGATGTTAGCAAGAGAAGATTTGCTGGAAGGAATGGTCTTGTCCCGGGAAAGAGATTGCTCTGCCAGCTCCTGGTACCGTAATTCAGTGAGTGAAGCCAAAAGTCCCAGCCTGCTTGTCCCCTGAGCCTCAGCCCTAGACTGGCGAGGTCTTGCACTGGGTATGTGCTGAGTGTTTTGAGTGTTGTGCCTGGCACAGGACTGATCCCAGTCAGTCTGGTGCTGGAGTGTGAGCATGGCTGCCATCTGCCGATCAGTCCCTAAGCTTTCTCACTCCCTCACATCCCTCTTTGGATGCTGTGGCTGGTTTGGTTGCTGTGAGGCCTGACTGGGGTCCCCTATCAGGTTCTCACACTGGTGGGACAGGCAGCTGGGGACAGGCTGGCCAGGAAGCATCAGCAGCACCATCTACAGCCCTTGCCCCAGCATGACTCCTGTGCCAGTGCTCCTCAGAGCTCTCCACAAGGCCTAGCACATGAAACTGATTCTCCTCAGCAAGAGCTGCTAGCCCCATCTCCAATCTCCGCCAGCCAAGAATCACCAGATCTGCAGTTCAAGATAGGAGGGACTTCAAAGAGAAAGAGAACTGCAGTCTTGGTCAGGATTGAGGCATAGCGGAGTGAGACAGGCTCCCAGGTCACCACAGGGCCCTTGCCCTGTGAGAGGGTCTCTGCCCTTTCAAACAAATCTGTAATCTACTTTGTGACTCAGTTTCCCCATAGCCAGGCTATGAGGCTAAATCAGGGGGTGAAGACACTGCCTGCCCCAGGGTGTGCCTGACTTGCACCATGGGCACTCAGCAAGCTCACAGATGAGACCCTATCAAGCTAAAAGGAATGATACACTAAAAGGATAGTCCAGGGCCTGGGGCACGAAGTGGCCCTTGGTGGGTGGCCAAGTTCAGCACCAGTTCCCTTGGAGGCCAGTTGTCTCCTCCATCACTAGGCACAGAAGAGACTGCTCCTCACTCTTGTTTATGCCCCAGGAGACCCAGGAAGTGCCACAGGGCTTTCTCGGGATCTGTCCCACTGCACAAGGCTTCCATTCTGCCCTGGACACACCTTGGACTTAGCCCTTCCAGGCTTGCCAGCCCTGATAGACCCAGCCTTGCTGTCTCTTCTACAGGCCATGGTGCTCCCAGCCCTCTGAAGATCTGCAGTTGTCACTGTATATAGCAGTGCTCTGGCTGTGCAGGGGGCAGCCAAGGGGGCTCCCACAGCCCCATTCTTGGGGGATTGCTGCCATGCTACCCTATGTGGCACTGCCACCACCGGTGACCAGTTAGGCTGTAGCAACTGGGAGTGAATGCAGTGGTGAGGGAGTGCCCCAGCACATAGGTTAGCCCAGACTGAAGGACACACTTCCTACACCCCATGGCACTTCTGGACAAGGGAGGACTGTTCACCCCAACGATGCTCTGTTAGGACCATAAGTGATTCAAAAGGGAGCTCCTCCAGCAGCTAACCTAGGCTGGCATGGCTAAACATGTCATCTGCCATGCATGCAGCATGCCTTGCCATGTGCCCAGGAACACAGGCTGTGCCTGCAGAGACTACACCTTTTAGCATGTCCATAAAGGACAGCACAGGGCTAAAGTGCAGGGTATATGCTCAAGGTGGTGGGTTGTCACACACCCACCTGATCTGTGACAAGGGCTCCCTCAGCCACACACAGGTTATCATGGTGGTATAGAAGAATGGGAGAGCCCTGTCCATCCCACATCACTCCCATCCTTCCCACATTACTCCCATCCTTCCTGCATCCCGCCCAGCCCCTGCGTGCCTGGATCTCAGCAGAGGCTGGCTGGGTTAGGCTGGGTGCAAGGCCTTGCTATTCTCCACCTGCTGTAGAGGCTCTCTCTGAACCCCAGGACAGTGGTTCCCCCAGAGCCTGCAGAGAAAGCTATTCAGAATATACTGAACCCCTCCGCTCCTGCGATGCTGTTACTCAGGCTTGGTTTGCTATGACCGTCTTCCAGATAATCTTTTGGGTTTTTCTATACAAAAAATTCCTGCAGATGTTTCCAGCTCCAAAGTCCACAAAAATATAACTGAAAAGCCTTTTCTCATCTCATATTCCACCCCCTTCCAGCCAGTTTGAGTGAGGAAGAGCTAGTTTCCTTGACTTCAGCACCCAACGTCAGCCTGTGCTGCAGTTACTCTGCAACCAGGGCATGACCACAAGGGTTGGCACAGATCTTGTGCGTTCCCTGGGATTAGACTGGACTAACCTGGCACCTACAGTGCATTCCTGGCAGTGGGGCCCAAGGACCTGTCTCTTCTCCATCTGTACTCCACAAAGCCTTCACCCATGTGGCAGACCCAAGAGTTCAAACTAGGGGCTGGCAAGGTGGGAAAGTGCTTCCCTTTATTCCAGGAGCTGCCTCCAGGGCCAAGCCATGGACTCAGTGCCCAGCATTGGCTTTATGCAGCCCCACACACCCATGCCTGGCAGATGGTGCCATGGGGCAGGGTGGTCTGGCTCAACTGGCATGGTGTACAAGGACCAGCACAACCCCAGCACTGCCCTCTCCGTGGAGATGCTCCCTCACACCCTTCTCTCTCTCCTGGCAGGAGCCTGGACCGCCTGGACTCTGTCGAGATCCTTCTACCTCCAAAGTTCTCAACCTGGGAGGAAGAATACAACCAGATCTCTGACAGTGTCAACGAATCCAGTTGCATCAGCCAGGTGAGATGCTGGAGAGCTGGACCCAGCTGCATCAGCATACCCGACCCCAAAAGACGAGAGAGGCTGGCTAAGGGGAAAGAACATCTCTCTCCCCCTACAGAATAAGGCTCCGGCTGCACTCCAGTAATGGGCAAGCCAGTATCTCTTGCAGTCTCTCTTTGCCAAAGCCTCAGGCTATATAAATAATTCTGATTTATATTAGACCCTTCTTGCCTGTTTCCATCAGGGTGTGAAACCTCTCCTACCTCTGGCCTGCTGTGGCATCCAGCTGGAGTTCATGGATATGCAGCTTTGAGGAAAGGGCTAAGTTGGAGCAGGGTGGAGCAGCTAGACACCCTGGCTTTTGCCACCTCTCAGCTCTGCTGGTGCAGCTGAAGTCACACTAGTTACGGCTACAGGTATTGCAGCCCAGAGCCATGCACCGACCTTCATAGTGATGGGTAAATCTCAGGGCTGCTCTGTGCACAAGCATGTGCAGCACAGCCACCCAGGAGCCTGCACACAGCCTTAGTGAGAGCTACCTGCAAGGCAGCTTCCTCCCACTTCAAGCTCCTTGCACATGCTAGGTGGGCACAAAGCGGGAACCTGCCCCGCTGACTTCACTCATCCAAAAGGCAGTGTGCAGCCTGGGGCCAGCTGCCAGGGGCTCTACAGAGGGTAACTAGGGAAAGTAATCCTACCATTGCTTTACTCTGAAAGCCTTTTCCCTTGTGAAGTTGATTAGGCCTAGGAACAAGGTGCCTGTAATCCAGGAGACTGTCCTGCCAGGTAATTGGAATGTCACCTTTGAATATTTTCATTCCCCATGCATCAGTGAGGGTAAAACACTTAACACAGATGGTCTCTAGGCAAAGCCAAGGATCCTAGTGGAGGCACTGTTGGTGGATGGCAAACCCCTCGCCACAGTGTGGGTTCCTGTGCCCTGGCCCTGGCATCTGGGCGGCAGTCAGTTCAAACAGGATTTAACTCCCTGTCCCACACTAAGCCTCCCCTTGGCGCTAAATTGTAGTGGTTAAGGGATGGGTCACTATAAGCCAGCTGCTTCCCAGCCTTAGAAATAACCTGTTCCAGGATGTGGCCTTTGCATAGGTCCCATATACTTAATCTCAGCCCTGGGACAGGGACCCTTCTTTTTTGTACACAGCTGGAAGTGTCCTGGGGCAGCAGTGGCTGCACAGCTGTACCTTGCACAGCTGTTTCACTGTCATCCTGGGCCTCTGTCATGTCATGTTCACGTGTGTATACGTGGCAATGTGTGCACACATATGCCCCACTCTGAGCTGCTCCAGAGTCTGACATGCCCACACGCTGCTAGTGTTCAATGATCAAGGAAGGCAGCACAACCCAATTGTTAAAGAAGTGGGCTGGACATCAGGAACCAGAGCACGGAGGAGGTGTGAGATTTGTGCCCTGGCACCTCCATACAGATGCATGGGGCTCTGAGTCCACATCTCATCTCTCCAGCTCCACAGGTTGGTTTCTCCTGCTGTTAGTCCCAGTAGTGTGGTTGGAGCCACTTGTGGAGAGGTTTGGGGAAGGGCACAGAGCATTGCTCACGGGGTGTACTTGTTCCTTGTGGTGAGTCTCGTTCTTTGTACATCAGCAACAATGTGCTGAGTGTTTCATTGCACAGAGAAAGAGGTCAGCCCATCGTACTCTTGTGCTTTGCATGTAAATCTGTGTCTGAAGCCAGGCCTCTGCAAGGAAGGGTGAAAGAACAGGCCCACTGAATTTGTGCTCTCCCCCAGCCCACAGTTACCGTCTAGCAGCTGAGTCCAGTACACCCACAAAAGCACCAGGAGGATATTGGAGATGAAGGATCTGAGCTGCCTGTGATATGCTAGGAGCTGCACAGACAAACACCCCTTTCCAGACATGGAGTGTCAGCCCTGTGATGCAGGTGGTATCCTGACTGCCCACAGCACTAGGATCAGTGGGCTGGTGTCATCATTTGCACTTTGCCTGCCTTCCTCCAGATCAGAGTCCAGTTGCAGCTGGACTGGGATTTAGAGGCCTCCCCTCCCCCCACCCCCGGAAACTGCACATCTGTTGATTCAGGATGGACCCAGTGCAGCTACCTTGTGTGCTTGTCCTGGTCTGATCTTTTGGAAGCTCTAACCTGTCCTTTCATATTCTGAGTGCCAGAGGCAGTTCCTCCCCACTCTCACTTTTGTGTGACCTCCAACACCTTTGTTTGTCCAGCAAGGCAGACTCTAGAGTCCTCCCAAACAGAAGCATATCCAGCTCTGCAAGACAAGTCCACTCCACTTGGTTTTATGCCAGCTGAGCTCCACCTTGCAAATCTCCGGAAATCTGGAGTCCTTCTGATGTGCATGTCAGCATACACCTTTCAAAGCAAGGGGACCAGTGGTGTGACAGAGCCAACTGCTGACCCCCAACATTGTACATCCACACTTTGAGCTGCCCCTCTCTGTGGAGGGGCACGACCCAGGCTCCCAAGCTGCTTCCCCTTGGGTACATTTGGAACTTGGATTCTTCCCAAGATGGGTTATCTTGGGCAGCTCATGTAGTGAAGACCTCATAGGATGGATGTGCTCTGCAGACCTTGGATGGAGGGAACTGCCTGGAGAGGAAGAAAAGGGATTTCTCCCCACAGGCAGCACAGTGTCTGTCAGGCATCTGTTCTGCCAAGTGTGTGCTGTGGTTTTGCTATGGAAAAAAGGGAGCATCACTTCCAAGTGGCTTCTTCTTGGACTGGTGAGAGGGGAGATAGCAGCAAGCTGGCCAGCCCAACACCAAGAAGGGCTAGATGAAGGCAAAGGATAGTTCCCCTGCTGTGGAGTACTCCAGCTGCCCATCCACCCAGGCTCTTCAGGTACTAGATGCAGGCTGTGGGGGCCTATCACTTCTCTTGGGCATGCAGCTGAACTCCTGCAGCACTGAAGGGAGGGAGCTGAGGTGCTGGTCAGATCAGTATTGGGAGCTTAGCTGGGGTGCTAACTGGGAGTCACACCAGCCCTTGTCACACAGCCACAGACACCCTGCATGTGCCGAGGGGTGTCGTAGCATTGTGTTCCCACTGTCAAGGTCCAAGTGTGCCCCGTGTACCTATATATTTATATATGGTGCATACAATAGACTGAATGCATCTGTACCTTCTCTCTGGTTTGGAGGCATCCTGTGGAGCTTTGCCATGCCATGTCTGTGCCGCTGTCTGAGGAGCCTGAGTGGTGCCAGGCCACACCAGCATTTTGCTTGGTGTCTTACGAGTTCCAAAGTTTGCACTGAACTGTCAGCAGTTGTGGCCCCAGAGGAAGGGCTGTCTGCTCCTGTCGTCTTCAGTCTTTGTGCAATGGCTGTGTGTGTAAGGGGCGCCCCCATTCTTGGCCTTTAACCTTCTCCAACTCTTTCTTCCAGATCTTTGGACCCCCCTCACTTATCCCTCAAATATTTACCCATGGAGAGCAGGTACCGTCCCACTGGTGTTTCCCTCATCCTTCCTCACAGAGTTTTCTTGGGTCACCCCTGGAGCACTGCCTGGGGCGCACAGGCAGGCTGCGAGGTCAGCCTTCACCTAGGAGCCAGCGGGAAGAGGAGAAAGAAGCTCTCCCCAACCCAAGGCACTCTAGGACAGCTGGAGAGCTTGGTTTCCCCTGGCTCGGGGGGGGGTTAGGAAGCATCAGTTCTGGAGGGAAACTGATGAGCTTTTTGAGCCAAACCTTGTGGAACTGGGGAAAGGCTCCAGACACCAACACCAGGCACAAATACTGTTCTTGAGGCCTAGAAAGGGCCAAGAGAGATGGGAGTGGGTGACGAGGTGCAAACTTAACATCTCTCATCATCTGTACTTCAAAACACTGATTTAGGCTGGCTGTGGTATTACCTAGGCGAGCCTCTCCTGAGTTAAAGTTTAATCAGCTGCTGCTAATGGAGAACAGGGCAGGGCAAGCGGGGGCATGGTGTGGGAGGTAGAAGCTGGGGTAGCAGTAAAAGCAGGGAATGGAGCTGCCCCAACTTGGGGTGCACCACGCCTTGGCCCAGTGCTCATCCACCTCCTGGTCCCTCACCTCAGACAGGGCTGGGGTTGAATTCCTGATAGCAACATCACAGCACAGGTCCAGGAGGCCCTGGGCTAAGCATGTCCTCCCACCCAGCCCACACTTTCCTACCTTCTCTTTCCACACTGCAAACCACTGTAGGGCTGTGCCATCTCCCCCAGCAGAGGAACACACCTGACTCGATAGGGTCCTGCAGCTGGGTTTTGGGTTCCCCTGGCCATGCCAGTAGGCACTGGGAGAGCTTTCAGAGGCTGAACAGGGATTTCAGCCTCACCTAAACCTTTCCACCAAAGACTGGGGAGAATTTCACAGGCACCATGGGGGTAAGTCTCTCCTGCTCCACAAGCAGGGACCCTCTTGCCTTGGAGGAGGTCCTCGTCCTCCCTTTCCTGTGGCAGAGAACCCAGGAGTCCTGCTCTGCAGCCAGCACTGATCACTACACCTCACAGTCTTGCCTACATATAATTGAAACTCACTTACAAATCGCAGCAGCCCTGGAGGACGGAGACCTCCAGGAAGAGGGAGACTAATTAGGGAGGGGAAGGAGAAGGGGAAGGGGCCTAGCTGTAGGCAGCAGGTGACTGGCTCTGCCCCTTTTCCTATGCAGGCAAGAGAGCCAGAGCTGGGGGAGCAGTACAAGGCAGTCTGCGACTCTACCTACAGTGAGGCCGAATCGGCTGCCGTGGAGGTGCTGGACCTGCCACTGCCCAGCTACTTCCGATCCCGGAGCCACAGCTACCCCCGTGCCAT